GGGAGAGGGAACCCCGTTGGACCATTTGTCCGATATGGCAATGATACTCGTTTTAGGTGGGGGGTTGCGACTTGGGTAAACTGGGTCTTTCGGGGTCTGTTTCCACTGGTAATATAGTAATTTTTTTCTCTTAGGTTGACCTTTTTTTGAGGCGGTTTTTAGTGTGGGCATATGGAATTAACTATGGAGCATGTATGGAGTACAATATACGGAATACCACTTATTAAGTGTTGGAGTGTTGGTGTGTTGTAGGTGCATATGTAGGGGAGGTGGAATGGAAAGGTGAAGTAATGTGGACTCGGTGCATATTAGTACATATTGTAGTATATTGTAAACACATACGTCGTACGCTGAAGATGCAGACTTCCTCTGTGTGTAGAGAGGTACATACGGAAGCACTTATATCACATCTGTGCCTCGGTATACAACCCGGTTGTGGAACGATGAAATTGCAGTGCTCAATAGAGAAACGCGGTGAAGACAGCAAAGCGGATGTATATTTCCCCAGGTACCGAGTCGAATCGGAGGTCGGAGTGCATGTGTGATAGGCAAGATTCTGATGTCTCAAAAGTCTTGACGCGAGCCCAGGCAATTACATTTCCTCATTTGGACTAGTTTATTAAACTATTATGGAGAGCCCGCGAGATGACTCCAGGGCTTGAGCCCCTCTTATCTGGTAAGCAGAATGGAAAAAGGTAGAATTGTAGAATTACAAGTGGGTATACCTAGGTGCTTACAGTAAATTGGTAATTGTGTGGTCTAGAATGGCAAATCTCTATCACAAACAAATGATAACTGCCGTGAGTCAAGGCTAGGATTATATTGATAGGACTGTGTCCCCCGATATAACCCTAGAAATGGTGTGCCATCTCACTGCAGGTGTTGCATATCCCCCTGCCATCAGCTGCACCGGGCTTCTTCTAGCAACTTCTAAGGTACGTATAAGCTAGACATGTCGACTGTCGGACAATTATTGTAAATAGTAATAGTCAGCAATCAATGGGCCTACAACATACGTAGATACGAGGGGCACCTAGGCAGCCCCTGCATGTATCCGGAGTACGGAGACAGGAGTATTCCCAACTCATTTGACTTTCCCTCGCAAGATCAGCGTACTAAGGAGATCAGCAGCTGAGTTATGAAAAAGGGCCAAGAATGTGGAACACGGGTTACCGAGGAGAAACGGAAATAGGTAAAGTGGTAAAGTGGGATTTTGAGAAAGTTTTGGGGGTAATTTCGATAGACTCGGAGGAATGTGATTGGCCCAACCTCTTTGAGGAGAACCACGTTGGCTTGACCGCGAGACGCCGTCATTGTCTTTCTTTGACTCACCTCCTCATCACCAAATCTGCTCCGCCACCAGAAGTTTGACTTCAGACGGATAAGGAATGCCTGCGACTGGACCTGGACTTGGACCTTGCGTTGGGACCCAACATATCCGAGGATGGCAGCCTGCATTTCTGAGCGCCCGATACACATCTTTGACTTTCGAATCTGATTATGGTTCGTAGAGTTAAGAGTCGATGACGAAGAATAACCGTGAGGCTGCAGCCTTCATCGTACATCGTGCATTAGACCTTACGTGTCTGTTTATCCCAGGTGCTGTGTCACAGGACAGGTCTAGACTGGGATTGAAACAGCTTTTAGAAATCGCCCAGTCCTGAAGCACCAGCTGATTCTAATATTGCAGCCTATCGGGAAACGGCAGTGAGTTTCAATGAAGACATTTGGGTCATAGTATCGGAAGATAATCCCAACGATCGTCGAGTCCTAAGATGGGTCCCGCCAATAATGCTGACCAACATCTGATTTAGGGGATCGCGACCGAGCGACCGAGGTGAGAAACAAGAAAATTATTATTTTTCTTTGTACCTTCGTCCTCCCTCGTCCGTCCACAGCTACGGTGTACTTGTATCCCTGTTTGATCCCATCACATTTCATACATCAGCCCCAAAATAAGAACAAAGGAGAACGCACGGGGACCAGGGTGACCAGGACACTTGCATCCGATGCTACACCGTAAGGAGCTGATGACATGGCGCTAAAGCAAGCCAAATTGACCTGGCCCGCAGCTCCCGCTGCATTCTTTGGGGCTAAGAAGGGGAACCGGGCAATCATAACCCCCGACTGGAACGTCTGGAAGGATGGAAGCTGGGATCGGCTCCGCCCTCCTGTGTTGCCCCAATAGTGGAGCGGTAGATTCGTGAAATGGGAAGTTCGTCGTCCCTTAGTGGATATACAATACGCGCCCTTTCGGAACTTACTGTTGGAGCGAAAACGAGGCTGATTTGGAGCCCGATTTAGTGGTCTTGGACGTGACCGCTGATTGCTTTACAGCGTCTCCGTATATATCTATCTATTGATTAGTACTAGTTTCACTACGGGAGTATAGTAAAGTAGATTATATTGAAAACGAAACATGGTACTGGGCCTCGGATCCTGCCCGGCATGCAGGGTGTTGGGAATCTCGTATTTACTACTCCGTCCTCTGTGCGGAGTACTCCGTACGCCGTACAACATGAGCTGAATCCTGCGAATATGCTCCTTGTGTTTTCAAGGGTTAGATCAGGTATTAAAGAGATCCTCGTTGTGCCGCTGTTACGGTGTGCTCAGTGCATACCTTAGAAGATCGGCATTTTCAGATTGTGTCAGCGGTCCCACTACGGAAGAGAGAACTCTGATCAAGACAATTCAGACACATCTGGCCTTCTGGAAAGTTGTCTCCAATTATTTTTCCTCTCTTTCTCTTTTCCCTTTTTATGGTGCAGGAAGTGGGTCTACAAATGCGTTGCGCTACAGGTTTGGATGCCGCGTGATGGGCTTGAATGTGTCTTGCATCAGGATCGGCTGTTATTGTAGACTGGTGATCTCATATATTGAATTTCAATATGTTTAATAGTATACTTTTGTTCATTTAAGAGATATATTATAATTGAAACTGTTATCTCCAAACTAAATCCTGTCAATATAGAGAGGAAAATAGTAGAAAACGCCCCTGACCAAAGACCGGGCGTCGGGTATTGGTCTGCTTTTGGCTTTTGGCAGAGCCCTAAGCACGATCAGATCCACCTGGCCACGTTGTGAATGGCTCTACTCCGTACTCCCTACTCCATTTTACGGGTCTTTGATTATTTTTTTGGTATGTGGCTCCATTCATTTTAGTTCCACGTTAGTTCAAGACGCCAAGTTCTAGATATTGGCGCCAATCTTAGAATTGGAAACTGTTCTACCTGCAACCTGCCTATATTTGTACGGGGTACATTGTAAGCTGCAGGTGATATGATATTAGGAATACTGATCACATTTCTACTCCCTACCTATAGCTCTTCAAACGTCATTGAAAAGCTCCGTTGAACCCGAACTCAAAGGTCAGGCTCAACCGGGGGTTCAACCGCTTGGGATAGCCGAGCTTCCCGCTCAGAGCCCAGCTTTTTTACTCTTTCTAGATTGTACCAAGTTGTATTCCCATTTTGGTGGCGTCTGTGATGGATATCTGTGCCACGCTGCCGATGAAACAGGCCCACAAACGTTGAATCAATACGCTGCTCCGTATGTATTAACTATATTTTAGTTGGCGCCCACCCCTCTTTTCTTTTTTTTTCTCAGGTGATGCTAGAGAATGACCTCCAAATGTTGATCCTGCAAAAATGCACGTAGCCTAAACCGCGCATGGTCCAAGTTTCCCGTTTTCGATTCAGCCAAGCCGACCTAGTTGATTGGCTGTGAACCTGTGATGAGAGCCGAGTCGAGTAGTCTATTTCTAGGCTCGGAACATTTAAATGAGGAAAAGTCAAAAAAGAGTCAGAAATAAGTAAATGAATACATCAACAAAGATCATGGTGGCAATGATGCATCTCCTGCATCATGTACTCCGGGTAGTAAATGAAGAAGTCATGCAAAGAGAATAGCAACCTCACATCCGGGTATGCACGGTACAAAGGGAGAAACAGTTCTTTAATCTAGACTTCGGGAAGGCGATGACGATAATTATCTTTAACTCCACTTGCACCCCTGTCGAAATCCAAAAAGGGCAGATGTGGTCGGTCTCTAGCCCATCACATTGTAACCCTTGCGTAACGATCTCGGTGACGCTATAATTGGGAAGGACAATGGAAAGAAGGTGTGTATATATTAATTTTCACCCTAAATCCGCATTCTTACATTGGATCAGAAGAGAAAGAGAAACAGACTCAGCCTTGGAAGTATTGACCGCAGATCGGACCGGATCGCGGGTCAGCCAAAAAGGTCCATCGCATTCCCAGCGGCTAAAGGGTCAAGGTTGGAATTTTGAATTTCTGTGATTTGCTTTTGTCCAAAAGTGGACAGACGTATAAAAAAAGGAAAAGAAAGAAAAACCTAAGAAACTAAGAAAACGGGAGCCCCAGTCTAGGCTGTGTGAGACTTTGCATTGGACTATTTGGACTTTTAGCATAATATACCATACACACTACGGAATACCCACTGTACATATTATACACCTATATTATACCTATTTAATCAATTTAATCCATTAATCTATTCTATTCTTCCCCATGTTCGCCTCAAAAAGCATGTTCTATGTTCCCACAGGTCCGATCCCACCCCCACTCTGCTATTTGCTGCACTCCGGAGTATTCCCTATGGGCCCTGGTCGAAACGGTGGAACTGCCCTGAATTTTCATGGATTCGGTTCCAGGTTGCCCTTTTGTTTTTTATTTGTCTTTTCGTTAGTGTCAACGTCGTGTCATCTTAGCATGTGCGGTGGCATCGTAGATCCGGGCTCCCTGGATTCCCTTATAAGCCTGCCTTGCCTAGTAACGGGATCTTCACTGGAATTAAATACTCTCACCCGTTCCTGAACGGGAGCATCGGCCCTTTTTATTATTATTATCACATCCACTCTTCATTCAACTACACTCCACACTACGTAAGCTATTTGCTGTCTACCATTGATTATATACTGACTTGGTTCCCCTTTAGTCAACTTCCTCTCTTCATCTTACTTCTTTTCAGTTTCTTATATGGCCAATTATTCTTGGCAACCTCAGCCCCCTTCAACAGGCTCTCAATGGCTTCAAGACAATGTTTCCTATAGCCAGTCCACCATGCAAGATCTAACCCGTGCTTTCCCTCGACCGAGGCACACTCGCGTCATGAAGCCTCGTAGTGCAGGCAACAGTCCTTCATCGGCAATCCAGAGACGACCAACAGTGAATCAAAATGTGATGCATGGACTGCCCACTCAATATCAATCATCCCTGGAAGAAGCTCTTCTCGCCTCAGCCGCCCGGAACTCACGTCCGATGAGCTGGCATCCTTCACCCGCAAGAACTCGGGGTCTTTCCAACCCGTACATCTCAGATTTCCCTTCGGATAGCTATGCCGATATGGGAACCGTGCCTGATCAATACCTCAACTCAGCCGTCTACGGCGGTGAAAACATCATGTCATGTCCTGTGACCGCCGACCCTTCATTCTCCCCCGACTACTTCCCTGTCTACCCAACCATGCAGGAGGACTTGCCCCTTCCGCAGCACACGCCGGCGCTCATGACTGGCTCACAGGTCGAGCCGATGGGATGGGATATGGTCGCCATGTCCACCGATATGTCGATATCGCAGCCGGTCTCCGACAACTGGAACCTGGACATGCTATCAATGGGCACCAATATCCCCCCACCAGAGACAACATGCCCAAGCTACGTCAGTGTCCCTTCCCCAGGCGAACTGAGTTACCCATCAACACCGGACTTTCTGCCCATTCAACAATTCGAGAATCCCTTCCAGCACACCACCGAGCCCAAGAAGACTGGAAAGGGCGAAGAAGAACTGGTTGGCATGGGCCTCTACAGCCAGCCCAACGGAACACTTGCACGAGCCCCACAGAGCAAATCAGGCGAAGGCCTGAAGCTCGAAGAAACATTCACACCATCCGACGAAGACAAAGACGGCGAGGAGGACGCAGAGGTTGAGATCATTGGGGAGCATGAATTGCCCCAGCAACCAAACACCTACCATGAACCCGCGTCTACCATTCGGCAGTCGAAGTTTACTTCCAAGCAGCAGCCCAGACAAGCTCTGAATCTTCTCCAGCGGTCTTTCTTCTTCGACCACGATGATGCGGATCAGCAGCCCATGACTGCTACGCAGCCTTTTGCTGGTTTCAATCAGCCCTGCATGAACTATGGGTATGGGTGGATCTGAGGTGATCTCCTAGCGGAGGATTTCTTTCTCTCTTTTTTTTTTGCATTTATTACGGTACCAGCAGCATAGCGTGGAGTTTGTCTTTCATCATCTTTTTTCGGAGTCGGATACACGGAAAGGATACCCTGGGACGAGACGGCTGGCGACTCGCATCTAGCTACATTTACTTTAGGTGTACTCGTACACGATCTCATACACAAATCTATCTCAATATTTGCTACCTATCAATATTTCCATTTTCAGTCAAAGTTGAACCCCCAGTGTTAAATCATTATCGCATTATTCCAAATTCTCAAAGTATACAAACTCGCCCTCTGATTGGCTACGGATAAAGTAAGCCTCGGCGAAACCATCCCAAAGGAACAACAACAATTCCCCGAAAATATTTCGCAGGCTATCAACGGAAAGTCAAGCAAGCAAAAGGTTACCCATCCAGCGTCGAATTTAATTTGTAATTTCTCATTTCAAACTCAGCGCCGAGAATGGCAAAGGTCATTTTCACGGCTTGGAAAACCAAGTCTCAGTTGCTGGAAGTGCGGAACGAGTTTTATCCTCCGCCTGCGTACGCTGGACCGGATTTGCGTTCCCATGGCTGTGCAGTGGTATGTTACATATGCATGAGGGACAGAATGAGTGTGGTGTCCAGCTGCGTAGTTTGCTAACGATGTCCGAAGGTCGAAGCTTGGAAGCTACGCGGCAATGTACCGCACCATGTTGAAGCTACGGCGTTGTTGACAGATGCTATTCTCCATGATGATGCGCAGAGGAATTCCATCTTCTCGATTCGTGCTACATATTCTGCAGCTTTCTGTCGGTGAGTATTGCGCTGTACCTGATCCAGTTTTTACATTTATGGGAGAAAAGCCCGTGGAGATGATGTCTCGAATTCGTACTCTGCCCATTCACATAGCATATCCCGTTTGTTTCCAAAATAACTAACGCGCCAGCTTAGCTTCGTAACCGGTCTCGTGGACACCAAGATTCACGGCGTTCGCCGAACAATGTTCCAGCGCGCTACAGACCTAGGCCTCCCAGCCTCATTCGTGGAACTCCGTCACGAAGCAACCCACCGCGAGCCGCCGTCGCTCGTCGTACTGCGCAAAGCTGCGCAGCGCTCGCTCGAGTGGCTGTGGGACAATTACTGGGCCGGTGTTGGTGACGACTCCGGTGGGCCTGTATTGACCCATGACGACGGTGCGTCTGTCAGGGCCGCCTTGTGCGACGCTCTGCAGCCTCTATCCGGCGTATCGGCGGATTCTGTGCCCAAGAAGCGGAAGCGGGATCAGGCTGTTTCGGTCGCTATGCGGCTTGTCTCGGTTTGTAATGTTTCGGGGACTGCGGCCAGGCTTTTGTCCTCTGTTTTGCTCGAGCAGGGGTTCTTGGTGCCTGGTGGGCGGAAGTGAGTTTGCTTCCCCCCTTTCTGTTTTGTTTTTGTCTCGGCTGTGGCTTCAGGGGTGTATCTGTTGTCGGGGAGTACATGCTGACTGTGACATTCTAGACTTGGAGATTCGATGAATGATACATTCAAGGAATGGAACCTGGTTCTGCAAAGGGTTGCAGAGAGTCATCCTGCGTTTTTGAGGCATTTGACAGAAGATCTGGTAAATGATCTAGCCTTTAAGAACACAACCGATATATCGGCAGATGCGCCTTCCGAGGCACTGTATCTGTGGATAGCGCATATCTTGACTTCTCCTGTCTGGGAATTCCACAGACAATCATGTCCGCAAAGCTATGTTCTCCGAGCTTGCGATGAAAGTCCACACCACTGGACGAAGTTATTAGGAGATCAGTTAAGGAAGCACGCTAGCAAGCCCAAATCAGTTCTTGCCGCTCGAATCGTTGCCAAGAACCGAATCACAAAACCAAAACATGTTAGGAACGACTCGCAATACGCTCCATCTCAGCTCTCGGATAAGCTGCTGGAACATGGATGGGGATTCCTGGAGAAATGGGACAGTCGACCTTTGGGTGTGGTATCAAGTAATTAGGCGGGAATATCCCTAATTCACAAATACATACGCTGCTGGCAGCGTTAGAGAACTCAAAGCCAACATCTCCTATACAATATGGATAGACTACATAGTAATGAGCGACCAATCAACCTTCGAAAAGCGGTGGCATTACTAAAAGCTGTCGAGCTAAACGGGAAAATAATTATTCCGGATGACGTTGGCACCCGTTTGGGCTGTGTACCTACCTCTTTCTAACCCCTGCACTGTTTTTATTCATCGTTCCTGATGAACTTTCTAAGGACGCAGTTATTCGGAACTAGCTCACCTCTATTCAGGCCGCAAGTCAGAGCCATGCATATCCAATCAATTCCTATGTGTATGTTGATCCTCCGGTCCCGTCATTTATATTACCAATCAACAGCTTGCGATATTACAGGAATATTTGCTTATTTAGGTCAATTCTACAGGGACGGGGAAGGGCAACAACTATGCCTACCTCGTGACAGACGAGCCGACCAAGCAATCAGTTATTATTGATCCGGCCAATCCTCCAGAGTGAGTTGCATCTTCAGATTGGGTTGAAACTACTGCTTGAGCTGAACTGATTATGTGGAATCGCAGGGTTGCACCGGAGCTCAAGTCTCAGATTGCTTCTGGCAAGATCGATCTGACAACCATTGTTAACACTCACCAGTATGTGGATGGAACTTTCATGAGCCGGTAAAAAAGGAACAAAATCCAGGTTTGCTGACATTTTCTGAAGCCACTGGGATCATGCTGGCGGGAATAGTGACATTGTATGCATGCTTTCTCGAGCTATTGGTTGTTACCTCGAGCTAACATTTGCATCAGTTGAAACAATTCAAGGGCCTTCAGGTAATTGGTGGCAAGGACTGCGCGTCTGTTACCAAGACCCCCGCGCATGGCGAAGAATTCAAGATCGGAGATCGTATCTCAGTGAAGGCTTTACATACTCCCTGTCATACACAAGACAGCATCTGCTACTATATGCAAGATGGAGACCAGCGTGTTGTCTTCACAGGCGACACTCTCTTCATTGGTGGTATGTGCATCGTTTTCAAGACTTCCATCCCAATACCTGTGGATGGAGTATCATGGACTAATTTTGAATGCAGGGTGTGGCCGATTCTTTGAAGGAAATGCGAAGGAGATGCACAAGGCCTTGAACGAGACTCTCGCAGCTCTGCCTGATGACACCAAGGTTTATGTAGGGTTGTCTTTTTGTCTTTTAGTGGCGATACAAGGCTCATGCTGACTCCTTCTAGCCCGGCCATGAATATACCAAGGCCAATGTCAAGTTCTGCATTGCAGTCTCGCAGACAGAGCCTATCAAGAAGCTCCAGGCATTTGCGGACCAGAACAAGCAGACACAAGGGAAATTCACCATCGGGGACGAGAAGGTAAGAGTTGGACCCGAGAATATTTCTGGTCGAGACTAACGAACCTTTAGCTCCACAACGTGTTCATGCGCGTCAATGTAAGTTCCTTTCCTTTGCCCTTGTATCTGCCGTTGCTCATTTAGAACACACAGGACCCCGAGATCCAAAAGGTAACTGGCAAGACCGACCCTGTGGAGGTAATGGCAGCGTTGAGAGAGATGAAGAATTCGATGTAAAGTATGGGGTCAAGTTAGCGTGAAAATCAACTAGATCAGATCACCTTATGATATATATCCGTGTAAAGCGTGTTTTCGTAGGAACGTGGGTATTCCGATGCTAGATTGAAATGTTAAGATAAAAGGCGTGTAGAGCTCTATAATCAAGTCTCCAACAAATCAAGTCATTCAAGAGATCATTTACGGGATTTCGGTCTGGAAAATCGACCATTTTCCCACTGTTGTGGACCGATGTACGTCATAATCGTGCGTGCCAAGCCAGTGTTCTCCAGCAAACCAAAAATATAGAAATTAGGTATATTTTGTATAGCTTGTTCATACAAAAGATACTTAGGCACAATGTAGACACAGCATAGATTTTCTTGCCCGAAGAGGTAGTTAAGGAAGGTATAGGAAGATGCATGTAGTGTAAAAGGAGTCTATTTTGTCTCTTAGTCTTTCTTTAGCTAGTTCGAGGGTGGAGAAAAAATGAGGTTAGTTACATGTACCTTTTGTATAGACAAGCCATACAAAAGATACCTCATTCCTAGATTTTTTTATTCGGGGCACCAAGCACCGGTGGTGGGGCATACCCAGGTAGCTCCCCACCAACACCTCGGGCCCGGACAACCTCAACCATGACAGAGTGACCAACAGGGAAATTCCAGTACTTTTGCGCGATGGACAAGGCAGCTACGGATGATGTAAGTGCTGCTGGACTCTAGGACTGGGGTATTACAGTGACTGACCAATACCATCATAGAGCACTGGAGGGGCGAGCGATACGGAGGCTCAGAATCATCTGGAGGTAAAGCAGTTTGACTCCCATGATAGTTCCATACTAAGCGCATGCCCTTACCCAGGTCGTGTTCTATCCCGACTCCAACCACCGTCGCAAGTCCTCCCTTGTTACCATGGACAAGCCGAGGGTCCTACCTCACCCAACTCAGGATGACGGGACGACCGCCTGCTACGTCCACAACCTCATTGCGAGCGAGTGGACCTCACCCCTACACCACCTGAAAGATACAGAAGATGCAGAAGATCAGATACGGACATCGAAGGAGAAGGAGGCTCTACCCGTGACAAATACGGAAGGCATCGAGCCAGAGGAACTGGTCTCGGTGGTCGACCGCGACAACAAACCGATACCCACAATCATTGAATCCCGGCATCTTACCAAGAGACAGCTGTCAGACATGGCCTGGAATGTGCGCAAATTATCCAAGAAGCTAGGCAGCATCAAGCTCAAGCTCACCGTGAGAACTGTCTTCGTGGTCAGCAAGGCGCAGGACGAGTCGCTGGTAAGCCTGACTCGAAAGGTTACAAGGTGGCTACTATCCAAGGACCGTGACTCATTGTACGTGGTTTATGTCGAGCAGCGGCTCGAGACGCATCCGGACTTCGGTGCGTTGCAACTGGTACAAGAC